TTTGTTTATTCCCATGTTTGTAAAGGTAAATACTTGCCCCTTTGTGCTCATCGTTAGGTATGGATGCAGCTATAAAGTGTGTTTTCTTATTCTCCTTGTTTGCTTTTGCAAAATCTATGAAGAGGATCGCTTGTTCTTTCATTTTTTCTGACACGGAATCTGAGAAGTAAAACTCACACGGCTCAACATCCTTCCCATCTTCCTCTGTTGGTTCTCTTAACTTTGAAGCTGAAAGAGACTTTAAGTGGTTTGCCAAGCAGGACAGATACGGCTCCTCCTCACCCAGTGATGTTAAAGCAAAGCACACTACATTCTTATCTCTATTTTTGAAGATTTCACTTTGAAGCTCACTATTTGATGCCACAATTTTCATGTCTTCCATCGTATCAGTGTACACTTGGAGCAGGTTGATTTCTTGCTCTTTGCAGTCCAGCCATTCCTTAAGTTTATTACTGTTGAAAGGAGACTGTTCCTTCTTTGTTAGGATGTTTGCAAGCACACATTCCTCTGTTCCACCTCCACGAATTAATGGTAGAATGCTTGACAAAGATCTCTGAAACACTGATTTGTATTCTAAGCACATATCCTTGAAGGATTTTATCTTTCGATCAAATTCAGGAAAGTATGAAATAAGCTTTCTGGTTGTAATATCATTGCATTGCATTTCTATTTCATTAAAGTCATCTATCACACTCTGTGTTTCACTTATTAATCTGACACTGATTTGACGCACTATTCTGGCAGCAGAAGAATCTAAGATTTCCAGGGGGAGTAACCACACCCTGACTGGCACAGTGTTTTCCCCCTTTTCACCCAGCAGACCTGGAAGTGTTGTGTATACGTTTACAGCATCCTGGAAGGAAACAGGGTTTTGTTTCAGGGCAAAGTCCCCATAGAATTTACAAGACAACTTATCAATGGTAGCTTTGTCAGAGTCTGTCAGTTTTAAGGAAGCCTCCCCTTCAATTGACAAGCATGGTATTTTCTTTATCATCACTTGCAGGTTACCCTCAATGTTTTTTTGGTCCTCAGTTTCTGACACTTCTCGATCAAAAACAAAAAATGCCTGAGCACCGTACAGCACTGCTGTTACCACGTGTGTCGCTATTCCCTTCTCAAACACATATGGGTGTTTAACATTTCCTCGTCCAAGGTGACTCATAGACAGCTGTCTGAACTTCGTAGTTCTTTTATACTTCAGGGTGACACGTGACTGTTTTTTCGAAGCCTTTGTGTCCTTAAGATATTTGGCAGATCCACCTACTTCAACCAGTCCCCCTAAGAAACTCGCTTTTAGCGAAGCATCAACATTTAGAGCCCATGCCTTATCCTTTACAGAATCAGATGCAATGACATCAAATTCTGTGTTGTGCTGAATTGTTTCATCTGTGTCTTTTTGAAGGTCATTATGATCCCACAATGTAATTCCTGCATAGGACAAAAAATTGTTATTGGTTTATATAAAAATTAATTTTCATAAAGGGAAACAGGGAAAGATTTGTCATTGATTTGATATGAACTGTCAAACTTTTTCCAAGAATTATTATCCGTAGTGTTTTATTAAATAAAACCCAGAGACAATGATTTTTTGTTTCTCTGAGTGTATTTTTCATAAATATGAAAGAGATACAAACTTTTTGACCACTAAATTAACATCTGCCATGCAACTGTGTATAAGTGGGTATAGAAAATGGATGGACGGAATTTAATTTTGAAATATTAACAACAAACTGAACTGCATTGATGAGTTTTGTAAATGCAGTTTTATTGTAAGTATACTTGTGTTGCTGCAACAACAAAGAGCAGCTAAATCAGAACTGCAAGAATGACAGTTGAGAGTAAAAACTGAGCCTGTAGCTGCCATCACGTCAACACAGCCGTCTGCCATCTCGGCTTATTCCATGGCTCTTTTTGTAAATTTCCCAGAAACACTCTACAGAAAACTGATTCTAAATTCCAAATGTAGGGTGTATAAACTTTATATTGATTTTCAGTTGCTCACCTCCTCGTTTTTATTGATGGCAGTTTGTTAGCTGGCCTGTGAAAATTATCATTCAGACCTTGGTGAAATTTTTTGTTGAAGAATTTAATTGTATCACTTGGCTCTAGTATAGTTCATTCTACTCAGTAGTGGCACATGAAAGAACCGGCATAGATCTGTGGAATCTAAATACATTAAGACAAGTCACAGAAAATGCCCCAGGGATGCCGGATAAATGGCCAGACCCTGCACTCTCAACTATGTATGTGTGTGTGTGTGTGTGTGTATTTGAAAAGGAGAGACATTAACCATGTTCAACCATTCAGAGCATGAGTTCAGCCATCAGGGAAGATAAGATCATTTCCTTTGGGATAATAAAAGTCTCCTATTTCTGACTCTGAAGAGATTCATTTGCCAGATTCTTCGTCTTTTTTTGAGGAAGGAATTGGTATACTCCAAGTGAAAGAACCAAGAGCCAAAATACTTTGGCTATTCTGTGATACTGACCCATTATATATAATTAGCAGTAACATGTACATTCAATGGACCCTCTTCTCAGAATCAATTAGACTCTTTCATTTGATACATGTGGTCTCTCTGTCTCAGAAAGCTCAACCCAAGAACTGCACAATCCTTTTTTTACACAATGATACTGAACCAGAAGCAGCTGTTCGATTTAGCGACTTACCTGGAATGAGACAATCATTACGCCCATCATACAGCATCCCCAGCTGGAAGGGTCTTCCAAGGGCTGCCACCTTCAGGTGCTTACTTGAAGTGGCTTCCATAATTTCAGTTCTACACCCTAAAACGTAGGTGTATTTGTTATGATTAATTCATGATTCACTGAGTTTTCCTAATTACATGAAATATTAAATTATATCTTTTAAAATCAGTTATTCTGATTTTGGCCTTTAAAGAGCACGTGAGCGTCTTTTGGGAAAACAAACAATTTTTAAAATTGCACTAAAAATTCTTTAAACCGAAATGCTCCAGTAAAATGTGTTTAAAAATAATATTTTACCATTCATATTTATTTCATGTCATATTTTAGGGGAATAGATTTCTGGATAGAAAACAAAGATTAGTTCCCAAGCTGGACCAATTAATAAAAAACAAAAACAAATTTTCTTGTACAAAACACCCAGCGCTGTTTGCTTCAGCATCAACTTCAGCTTTGCTTAACAGTTCTTCCCTTGTGATAGAACCGTGGGTTGCACCAATAAGGCTGCAAGAAAACTGTTATATGAACTGTAGATAAACTGCTGAGAAGACTTAGAATTAGTGTTGTTAGAGGAAACTCTCTGAGACCACAGAACAGGTTTCAGCTGGTTATTGTAAGCTAAAGAGGAAAACTGCCCTGAAAAAGTAACATGGTGAACAACAAGTATATTCCCCATATATAAGTCGACACCCCAATCGCTGCATTCCCGCCGCCTGCTTCACACCGCCTGCTTGTCACCACGGCAACGTAGAAACGGGGAATCCCCACCTATCGCACTAGTCGCTCCCTGGTCTTAAGTCTCGCGTGTATAGTGCGGTGTAGTATCACAGTAGGCCTGTAGCACATTGAAGGGTGCGGTTCTTTGCCACTGTTATTCAAAATGGCTAGTGGCGGTTCAAAGCGAAAATTAAGTACAAAAACTTATAAAGAGAAGTATGAAATCATAAAGTACACGGAGGCCAATCCAGGTCTAACAAAGACGGAGATTGCAGCGAAATTTGGCATCAAAAGACCAACATTATTCGATATTATGAAAAACAAACAGAAGGTTATCGACGCCATTGAGAAAGGTGAGACTTTGGACACAAGGACAGGGTCAGTTATTTCTTTTTTGTTCACCAATTCACCCAATGCAATGTACTGTGCTCTTGAAATATACAAGTCAAGACCCTGACATGAACGCTGCACTCGAAGAGTAGTGTGATGCAATTATGCTTGGTATAGCGCTCCATACAATTAATGGCAGAGCATGATTCATCCAATGCGTGCAGCATACCTGTCAGTTCTTCCGTTAGCAATCCATGACAGAGCACAATAGATTGTTTTGAGGGTTCAACATTCAGCTGAAATTGGACAGACCGGGGGGCAATAACATCATGGCAGTCTGTAAAAGACTTGGATGGCTTTATAGGAACCCATACTGCACGTACTGACTGGTCAAAGAAGGATGCCGAGGCCGTGATGAGTAGAGGTATGGTGTAATATTTACTAGTCGACAAAACGGCGAGATGTGTCGACTTAGGTGTATCTCGTCAATTCTCTAAGTCGTCACTTTTAAGCTGGTCCCGCGAGTGTCGACTTAGACCGGTTTTACTGTATTTTGAATGGCAGGTTCGGCTTCAAACCTCTGTCAGATGGGTCCATAGACAAGACCAAAGATATTTGCACTTACTGTCGATGTGAAATGAGTTACCACTGAAGTACATCTAGTCTTAAACACCACACCAGGCTGTGGCTCTTCTCAGAACAATAGGCGCATCTGCATTTTCATGTCTTAATATACAGTAATATCCCATTATAGTGGACTCGCTTATAACGGAATATTGTCTATAACGGACAAGGGGTGCGTTTACCAAACAACGACGGAAGTTAGCATTAACGATGCATCGTACTATGGTAGTTCAAACTAACCAACATCTGAACAACGACTGTTTCCCAAAACCGATGTACCACAGTAGTTCGAACCACGTTAGTTAGTTGGGACTTCCGTAGTTCGAACTACAGTGGTTCCAGCACTGATTGGTCAGACTCACAGTGAGTCGTGTGCAACAACTAACAAACTACTTTCACAGCCAGTCGCGTACAAAAACTCGCGAACTGTGTAAAATATATAATAATCACACACACACACACATATACACTCACCTAAAGGATTATTAGGAACACCATACTAATACGGTGTTTGACCCCC